ACCTCATCGCCTGCGACGAGCCAGCATGGCTCGTCGCTCGACGGCAGCCTGCCCAGTATGCTCTCGGCATTCTGTACAGCCTCGCCTCCCAGGCTCTCTGAGACGGCCTGCAGGGCCGGCGCGGACCGCCTCGGGCGCGATGGCCCTCCTCAGTACCTACCTCTTCGATGCCTGTCGGCTCGCCGCCCGCGTCGCCCGCGGCAGGCCCGCATGGCGCGCTGCTCGATGGCAGCCCGCTCAGTACGCCTTGGACAGTGACTTCTGCCTCGCTGCTCTTACTGCAGCCGCCTCCGGGACCGGCGCCGGCCGCCTCGCCTCGCCAGTGCTGTCTACGCCGGCGACACGCGTGTCGGCTCGCCGCCCACGTCGCCCGCGGCGGGCCCGCATGGCGCGCCGCTCGTCGGGAGCGTGCCCAGCAGGCTGTGCAGGGCAGTCTGCCTCACTCAGGGCGCCGCCGCCGCTGCGCGGGGCCGCCACCGGCGCTGCTGCCGTGAACACTGCCGCCGTGTACGTCACCATCGCCTCTCTTCATCGCCGATCTCGCCGACGCCGCTCGCCGCTCGCCGCCGCCCTGCCCTGCCCCCCCCAGCCCTCGCACAAACAAACAAACACTCACACACACACACACACACACACACACACACACACACACACTCACACACACTCACACACACTCACACACACACACTCATACACTCATACACTCACATGCACACACGCGGACACCGCTCACCACGCGCACCGGGCCTTGCACTTGAAAACGCCTTCAGGGCTCCTGCCTTTCTAGACGTGGAGTCGAAAGGGCTGCACCTGGCCCTTGCCCCACACCCTCGTGTGTGTGGAGAAGTGTGCCTGACCCCGCCGCAGGACTGCGACCAGCGCGGCTCCCTCTGCGACGCCGAGAAGCTCCGCTTCGACTTTGCGTACCCCAAGCCGCTCACTGCCGAGCAGCTCGCCGCCGTGCAGGCGCAAGTCAACTCGCAGATCGGCGCCGACCTCGAGGTGCACACGTCGACGGTCGCGCTCGAGCAGGCGATGGCGATCAACGGGCTCCGCGCCGTCTTTGGCCAGCAGTGCCGCACCGCCCACGGGGCTGACCCCGCATTGGGTTCGATCCTGCGGAGGTATGGTACTAGGCGAGCAGTACCCCGACCCTGTCCGCGTCGTCTCCGTGGGTGGGCGCCGGCGCCGTAGATGCCGAGCCACACACTGGTGCGGCCCCAGCGACTGGTGCGGCCCCAGCGAGCTACTCGACAAGACTCGTGCGGCCTCGGCCGTGCTCGCTTCCTTCCCCGTGCTCGCTTCCTTCCCCGCCTTTCCGCAGCTCTTGTAGCCACTCCTGTAGCCACGCGACACCCCGCGAGCACACACACACACACACACACACACACACACACACACAGCGCGAGCACACACACACGCAGCGCGAGCAAGCG